TGTTAACCAGTATGTTTACAGCGGTTGCTTAAGTCGGTACACCTCAGCAGTGGATAAAAATATCGAACAAAGAATTTGCCACATATTTTGAATTCCTCACATAATGGAATGTGTGGAATCATTGCAAATGTTGGAAGAGTCTTGCTGTGATTCAGTTTAATCTAAAACATAAGCCTATGATTAGTACTAAGCGTTCAAACACGGTCGAGAGATTGTTGAAGACATACCTCGTTCTGGACGACCTTCGACCCCTTCAACTGATGAAAATGTTAAAAAAGTGAAAGATATGGTGCGCGAAAATCGCCAAGCGTAGAGAGATGGCAAGAGAGATGGCAAGAGTCACATCGTCATCACAAGTCGTTCTTGCTCGACTCGTCCCGATTAAGCTGAATTTCTTTCAAAAAGAGTACGATTGTGACCGAGTATAAAGCCAATAGCGCATTGGATGCCATCGATCAGATCGGAGAACCCGTTTTCAGTCGATCGAAAAGATAAAACAAATTGCATGAAGGAGCTGAAGGCCATCCCAAAAAGTACTTACGAAAAGTGTTCCAGGGATTGAAAAAAATGTTGGCAAAAGTGTATTACATCTGGTGTTGTATACTTTGAAGGCGACATTTTGCGTCTTGCCTACAATTTCCGGGTATTGATAGTCGGTATTGATAGTCGGTACAATGTAGTTTTACAAAAAAAATATCCTAAGACGTGCTTGCTTAACGGCATACCTGTTACATAAAAAATCTATTTTTTTTTTTTTTAATTTCCAACAAATACCTGTTTACTAGCCCTGTATTTATAGTAAAAGCTGTATTACAATTTTCTACATTGTTATGACACCCGCCAGCCACCACCTTTCAGTTTCGGTTGTAATCAAATTTCATTGTTAAATTTAATTAGGAATAACCATAAAACGCGTGCATTAAATTGATAATAATTGACAATGTTTGACAATCGACTTCTGTGTGTCAGAAACCAATATTCACTGAAGAACAAAGTGAAATATTTCAACCTTGATATTCACAGATTTACAACCACTGCGAGGTTACTTTTATTCAAGGTTGTTGAGCTTAAAAATATTTTCAATGTTTGACTTGTGGACTTGAAAGGAGGAAGGACTAAGATCATTGCTAGAGTTTTGCACGAAGTTATAGAGAGATTTCAACCATTTTTGGTAGTAAATTAAATTGAGTTGGCATAAGTCATGCCATTAAGAAATTCACTTTTGTTCTGAGGAAATCATTGAATAGTAAATGAAATTATAACATTCGATAAATGAAGAAAATAGTGAGTGTCCGGTAGACCTCTACAGGACTCTTCCAATATACTAACGTAATGATTTTGAAACTGGATACCGATTGGGCAGAAGTACAGTACAATGACCTATAATCTTTTTAATGCCAATGATATCAAAGAAAAAAAGTCAGGTCCTATAGCCAATGTTAGAGAACGGGTAGGCCGTTGGACTAAAGTTTTTGGGTTTTTGGGTCTGAGACAATTTAGGCAGAAATATCTCGTTCACCGCCAAACACTTATTTTCGGAGGTATCGGCTATGGGGTCAAGGGAGTCCCAACATTCGCAAAATAAATAACCGATTATTAAATTTCCCGAAAAAGCACCTTTTTTAAATTATCTTATTCTGAATATTTATTACTGTCTCGCAAAAGCAAAAAAACTAAAAAGTAGTAAGCTTCCTTAAAGACTTTTTCGCTCTCTTCTCAACAGATTTATGCCACAATACTCTCTTTGTGCGAGGTTTGCAACGGCACAACGGCAAAACCTTACACAGAAGATGAAACAACGACAATAATACCRGTTACAACAACAACGAACGCAAATACGTTTGAAACGACAACGTTAACAACAGCAACTAATTTATCAGAACCATTGCCCATATTAGCAGCGAAATTGGTGCGACAACGTCGGCAACACCCGTACACCGTTATAAGGCATGTGGTGCGGTCCTCGAAGCGCGGCACGAAGTCACGGCGACGTCAGAAGTGGCCAAAATACAAATATGGACCACCAAATTACAGCATCGATCACCCAATCACTTACTACAAGCCAACGAAACAATATTTACCCGAGATAGCAGAGCCACCGAAATATTCGTCAATCGACGAATTGGATTTGACAAATCACTTTAATTTCGCCGATTATGATGGGCATGCACAAAAGGGTAATCACTATGAAGATCAAACCATGGATTTGGATTTCTACAGCAATACGGACCACTCGTTTCCGGAAGAGCCTAAAGTCACACATATAGAATACAGCACATATGATGCGAAGAAAGAGGTGCCGACCTATTCGTATACGTCGACCAAAACGGAAATTAGAAAGCCATATTTGAAAGTGCAAAGCTACAAAGGACCGAAGCATCATGGCGGCGGATATGAAATGTCAAGCAGCAGCAGCGGAGATTCGGGTTACGAGGATACGCACTCGTTCATACCACCCGACAATGTGTACGACATGCACCCGCTGAGCAGCTACGATACGCCTTCGCCACAGCATGACGGCAATTATTACGACTACACACCAGTAGACACTAGTTCGCATTCGAACACGCATATACCGGCCGCAAAGTATGGCGTACCAGATACGAATATACCGGTACTTTTCACACCACCAGCCAAGCAACCGGATTATCACGCCCCAAAGCCAACAGCCGCCGATAGCTATAGCATTTATGATAAGAAAATACCAAATGCGGGCTATAACTCGGTGAAAACATCAGGTCATACTAGCTTTGCCGAACCACCGCCGAAAACCAATGTCGAGATCACCTATTCACCTTCTTATGAGATCACCTTACCACCATCGAATCATAAGCCTGCAGCGGTAGAAGATTATCGACCAGTACCTGGCCACTTTGCTGAGCCGCCAGCAGAGCCGACGCCTTCTTATCATCCACCCAAAACATCGGGGTATCGACCCACAACTACGTATCGAATACCTGAAACCCCAGCACCACCTGCATATAGTCCAACTCCACCACCCCCTCCTCCGCCATCTTATCACCCGCCTGAGACGCATGATCCACCTGAGTCACATGCACCTCCATCATATGATATACCCGAATCACATGAAATTGCTTCTTATGAAGAAACCGATTTGCATGAGCCGCCATCTTATCAATCACCCGATATACATGCGCCCACATCTTATGAGGTGCCTGAATTGCCCCAAGATCCACCTTCATATCAGCCTCCTGAGCCACCAATACATCCGCCGTCAAGTGGTTTTGAAGTGCCCGCGCCACATCCGCCGCCAGCATACAGCGCACCCGAGCCACCTCAACCACCATCTACCTATGRCCCACCCGACCCAAACCTCCCAAGTCCATCCGTGCCTTCGCAGTATCCACAGCCTGACTACATATCACCCTCGAATAATTTGCCCATTAACTCTAAATATATGCCGCCAGCATATGACTACCCAAGATCGAGTTATGAAGTACCCATATATGACCCGATTCCTTTCGAGGCATCGAACAACGATGAACACGAAACATATCCGCCGCACACATTCGAGAATCAGCACATCGACAATCACGCACAATCGGCATCCTCACCCATACCAACCGCCGATGCACCAGCAACGCGTCACCCTGCGAATAAATTAAATACGCCATCACCTACAACAATTACGAAGGCATTTAAAGTGAAAACCAAACGTAAGCGTTTGCGTAATAGCACACCGGCTGTCACCACCAAACATATATTGGACGCGCCCGAATTGGAGGAGGCATTCGAGGCAGGTCAACGTCATAAGAACCAATTGGCGCTAAGCCCCGACACTGTCGTCAATGAATCCAATTACGTGGAGGCACAACGCCATGACGAACCCAACTATTTCTTGCCCACTATCACGCCGGATGTGGGGAACGATAACAGTTACGTTAGTACCGCATGGAATCCCATACGTATACGTGCCGCAAGTACGCCCACAGCACTACCTGCCGTTACGGCAACGAAGGCTCAGACAGCCTCGGTACCGGTATCGGCTCCGACGGCCGCGCGACCGAAAGAACGGCGCCAAAACTCGGGTCGCCAACGACAACAACAACAACAATCTGTGGCGCCGTCATATACGTCAACTAACGGTGTAAGTACGAGAACACGACAAACAACAAAACCGCTACACAGCGCAAGTGAGAATATTGCACAGGTAACGGTAGATAAATCGCGTTCGTATAGTTACTATGGCGGCACTTCGACGATACCGAAAGTAAACGATCCCAGTACATATCGTACACGACCTAATACTTATAGGCAACCGACAAGAGCTCCAMCTGTGACACGCCAGAATGTGCCTACGTCTAATAGGGATAGAGATAGAGATGAGCYCGTGCCGCATCGCACAACGAAGAGCGTTTTCGAAACGACTTATTTCAAAAGTCCGCGAAATGAGCACTTGGAACGGCATCTGGGCGCATTTGCGCAGAGTTTGCCAAAAAACCATAAACTACATTGAGTATGGAATATGCTGAAAGGGGCTGGGTAGAAAAATAGGAATGGGAAAAATGCGGTTATGTCTMGATTTGTAAGATTTTCCGATTTTTAAATATTTATGTAGTATATATTTTATACTATTTATATACAAATATTGAATTTGACTGCTCTTAACGGTACTGACTATTATTTGTAAAAGATAGCAACAAAGCCGTAAACCATTAAATAATTTTCGCGAAAGAGTAGTAACTTCGCGCACGAGCTGTAATTATTTCTCTCTCGAAGCGAAGCATACTCCAATTGGCTCACGAGTTAATTTATCTCTCTTATTTTAGTACCGAATTTGTCTAATTATTGTAGGTTCAATGCTTGATCCTCAAATGGGTATCGCGCTTGGATTACTTAAAGATGAAAATTAATAATAAGACATTTTTTATATGCTTTACCTACCATATTTATAACGTATAATTATTGTAACTTATTATGTATTATAATATGTGTGTCCAAAAATAAAAGTTTTGATAAGAATTGCAATTGTTTTTGTATTACGAAAGTGTACTTACGATGCGTTCGATAAAATTGCGCCACTTTTTGCTTGTGCTATACATTTGGAAATCGTTGAAGAACACAGGGCCCGATGAGGTAGGCGGTAAATCAGGTAGGTTTGTATCCAAATTGAAAACCTTACGGCATTTTTCAAGTAAAGCTTTCATAACTGGCATCAAAAAGGAATATTCTTCGGGATTGCCAACTGCAAAGCAACAAGGAGACACGATTTATTAAGTAGAAACAGTCAGTAGAATGAAACATGGTACTCAAATTTCATTTATGGTAGATTTTAMAGTTAATGAGCGGTTAGGCTAGTACCTAGTCCGCTAGGGATGGTAAGGGTTAGCCACGTTGTCGTCGACGTCATCTAACGGAAGGCCCAAGAAACGTACTGTTTCAACGAGGTCGGAMMAAAGGGAAAGGAGTATTAGATGAGTGGGGTTGGTGGGGCATGCAAAGAGGYGGCCAGTGTCATTGCACGTATGACATATTGGATAGGTCAGAGTCTATTCTGGAAAAGTAGAAGTTTAAACTACCACAGTATCCAGACCGAAGCCCTTGCGCAGCTTCACTCTCGTTTCCCGCGACATTTGGAAGTCTTCATCTGTGATGGGTATTTTCGCAAGTTTGTACTCTTTCGTCTAGTTTGTAAATATGGTCGCAGTGGATTTGGTGGGAGAGAGTGTTAAGTTCCGTGCAGAGAAGAAGCGAGAAAGGTTGGAGAGAATGYCGTTTACCTTTGAGCACATGTCATCGTCATTATTGTTCAATCATAAACGTACTAGATAATGGACACTCCCTCTGGTGGTTGGGGAAGTTTCGAGATATAGAAGTTAAACAATAGCGGAGAGAGGACGCCACCCTGCGGAACCTTTTGTTTAATTCTTCACAGTTTAGAATTTATTCCTCGAAACAGTATCCATAATTKACGACCGCTCAGGTAGTTCATAGACCACCTCTTCAGTCTTGGAGGGAGCGTAGTTTTTTCAATGTCCTGCAGTAGTGTTGTGTGACTGACTGTGTCAAAGGCTTTTTACAAGTCCAAGGTTTGTGGTTAATGCCACGAACTAATACCTTTTGCTAATAATATATGCCAAATTCCGTGACAAGCAGACAGACACGTTGACAACTAGCGAATACCAACCTTCAATAGCATTGTCCAAAGCGCGATTAATGCTGAACAACAAATACGCCAATTCACTGGGATCTTCTGTGTKGCGACTCTGCAGTATGGCATGCAACTTTGCTGTGGCCATAGCCACCACACCCGGATTGGGATGATATGAACATTTTAACAGCAAACCCAAACATAAACGTATCATATCTGACCAATCGTCGGAAGAGCCCTGTTGGAATATCATCAAAGCGTCCAAGAGTGCTAAAACACCGTCCAAAAGCTTTGTTGAACATTTCTTCGATTCATCCTCGTTCGAGCCGAGCACGACCAGGTCATAGACCATGCGTAGAATTTGTGAGGCGTTCTACATATAAAAAATAAGTATTAMAAAGAATATGTCAACACAGTATTATTATAATTATTCACACACCTCTTGGTTGATTAGCGTCTGATTGCCATTTTCGGACAGATCGAAAAGCGACGCCTGCACAGCCATTTCCAGTATACGCAGGCGCAAAGACAGATGCGACGTCACCAAATCATTGTTGAGCGCCAGCAAATTTATACAACCGAGCACTTGCCCACGCTCCTTCCAACATTGTGGATGATCATTGCTGACGCCACGCCAGAAAACGGTGAATAATATATTCGATACGAGGTACACAAGCTGCTCCTCGCTGTCCACATCGACATCTGGTGAAAATTCAAAGCCCGCGGTTTTGTTCTAAAAATCGAAAAAAAATATGTGCGTTAAAATGCTGTTGAAAAAAGCAGCTCGAACAGCACTTACCTCCGAATCGACTTTTTTGACAACTCGCTTTGGTGATTGCGTCGTTGAACTGTCTGAGCTTATGGATTCYGTGCGTTGACGCGAAAGGCTCTTAATAAACGAACATAAAAAAGTTGTTAGAAAAAAATGCAGATATTTACTGTGACTTTCTTACCGTCGACTCGGCCTCAGTGGAACCACCCAAAGTCAAAGACTCGAAGGTGTCTTGAATATCGTGTGTAGTTTGGCGTATGACGGAGAAAACAGATGAAACATTTTCGACGACAGCGCCAGAAACAGATTCGGCCAGTTCTGTAAGACAATAAAGGTCGATTAGTTTTAGGATAATCATAGGTAATAAACAAAATGAAGTATATGTGATAATGGTTCACTAAATACGAAGTAATATAGGATTTTTTTCCCCTCAAGAAGGCTTTCTATCCAGACAAAAGCTGTTAACTCCGCAAAATCATTTCGGAAAGTGTTTACTCGCGCCACAACTACAAACACTGCGAAGCCTGTTGTTGTCTTTCTGAATTTCATTTACCTTTAATTTCACTCTCGATAACGTTGGCAGCCTCCGTAACACTCGCTTGTATCTCATTCAATATGAGACCGCCATCGCTGTGCTCATCATCATGTTCCTTRGCCAATTGATCCAATTCCACTTGCTGTTCACAGAAACTAATCAAGTCCGATTGATTCGCAAAGTCATTATTATCTTCCAAAAGCACATCCAAACTAATGCCAAAGCTTTTACGCTTCTCCTCATCGGGTTTGACATTCGTAATCGGTTTATGTATTAGCAGACGCGCAATGGATTCCTGCCAACCCGATTGCTTGGCTATGGCCTGCGGTGAGTTGTGCTTGACAAATGTGGTTTGCAATAGACGCTTGGCGATCTCCAGCTTAATTTGTAACGCACAGGTGCTGATGTGATGTACAAGGAAAATAATGCCCGCGTAATCGGCTTCTGAGCTCAACATTTCGTCAACCAAGTGAAAGAGTATGGTGGAGCTGAGGGTCATTGGTATGGTGTAGGAGAAGAAGCCGGGAAAGAGCGAGCTATCGCTGGCGTTGTCATGCAGTCGTAGTATTTGTTTATACTTCTGATTYACGCGCGAAGTGTTCAGCAAGCAATTAATGAACTGTGTAAGGAAAAAGGAATGAAATTAAAGGACATGGCTAAATCGACTCATCTACAAAAATTGAAACTACGCACCCTTATAGCGGCCTCTTGCACTTCGGTGCTATAACTCTTATCCACAAAATAATTGTACAGCAAATTAGCCGTTTGGGGTTCGTGCAATAGCAATATCATTTGATCTTTGCAATTTTTGCCCTTGATATGGAATGTCAACATCTCCAAAAATTCGATGAGCACATTTTCCTGCCGCACCGACGCCAAAAACGCAATCATAGTGAAAATCTCTTTGATATTCACGTCCTTCTGTAGGTAAAACCGCACGATAGCGTACAGCGTGGCGCGTAACGTCTTCGCATCCTCCGGCGTAATGCTGTCCGGCGCACTATAGTGATCACGCACAACATCCAAAAAGAATTGTATGCCGAACTTCTTGCGATAGTACTTGCGATCGTTCTTAATCATAGCGCTAAGGTATTGCACATGACCGAGTGTGATTTGGAAGTTCATGCGCGCCCAAATGTGAAAATTGAATGCGATATCGGTGTATAATACGTCCAGTAGCGCCGAGTTGCCCTGCGCATTGCCACTCTCGGACTTCTGACCTTGCAGCGATTCGATGAAAAGATGTGTGGCCATCAGCGCATTCACATCGAATATGCTGGGCGAGCACTTTTGCAGCATAGCGCCAATCATTTGCAGGCACTCGCTATTCAGCATATTCTCCTGGTTGTTTTCATGGCCGTGTGTGAGGTAGCGCAGAAAGCAAATGAAACTGGCGACGGGGAATTGTATCATTTTCCACTCTGTAAAAATTGGGCGTACACTTGTTTAGTTGAGTATCAAGTAATATATATTAAGGGGCATATACCTGTATAGGAATTGGAGGAGAGCATTTCCCAATCGGAGAATTCCTCTGCGGTTGGTGTGCGTAACTGTTCGCCGCTGCCCACAGAATCATTGCCCTCAGCGCTAGATAGCGAAAAATCATCTTGCTGCTTGGTGAGGCGATGTAGTATCGGCAATATCGCCTGTACACCACCGATACTATTTATTGTATCTTGTACTTTTACTATGGAGCAATGATGTGCGTGGACTTGTGATGGAAAACGACCGCCCGGTATGAGATCTTGACAGCTTTCGTTCCAATAACCACCGGGTGCATAACAGAATACAAAACGCGATGTTAGTTCGAGCAAATCATTGTCTTGCGAGAATATCGAAGGGAAATGTATGCCCGCATCGAATATGGTTTTGATATTTGTGGTGGGCTCTGCCAAGAGTACAGCGCCCACTTGACCACGCAGACAAGTTTGCTCGCCGAACACAGTGTCTTGCATGCCGATGGGGAAATTTTTCACATTCGGATCGAATGAGCTTTGTGTGCGCAGCGGAAGCGTAAAGTAATTTGAGACCTATGTGGGAAGAAAATRAACAAATAAATAACTATTGAAATAACAGAAATATTATTCTATTGATAGACGCTGACAATGCTGCTACTCACGTTGGTTGACAGTGTGCGCTCKAGCAGGCTGGGCAGCACACCCTTATAAGAGCTGCCCGACTCTTGCGATGATGAACGCGGTAAGGGTGAGCCAGTAACACTGACTGCGTGTTGTTCAACCTGATAGCCACGTAAAGGCAATGCTGCCGAACCGATTGAGCAGAAATTGAAGGGCTGAAATTCGATAGCATGGAATGAGAAAATTTAGTGAAAAGCAATATAAACAAATTCACCTCATTTATTGCTTGCACTTTGAGCGTCGCACTCAATTTCTGCATGAAGTCGATGTAAACATTGATTTGGCTATAAGAAAATGGACGCTTGGGCGGCGTAATAGCGACGGTAACATAATGCCATTGTCCGTCCAACAAGGTTTTCGTATGCACCACCGATGTGAGATATTCGCGACGCGTCAATGCTGCCACAACCAAATTGCCGCTATTCTGTATGAAAACTTCAAAGCCGGTGTGACTCGCAGTGCGCAAACTGCAAATGCAAGAAGGTTAATTTTTAAGAAGAGAGAAATAAAACTGGAAAAAATGTAAGTTTCGGCTGCACCGAAGTGCATTTCGTATAGCATAAAAGCATATTTACTTGAGCAACATGCGTCGACAATTCGGTCGATCCGTATCCTTTGAGCCTTCCGCATCGCCACCTTTGCTAGCTTTCCTCCGGCTCCCATCAATATTATCTTGCAGCCTCACAAGTATGTGAAAAATGAAACCATATGACCCCGACATGGACCAATTTTTGATATCAGGCACCGCAATGCCTTCATGCGACGCGCTGATTGTAAAAAACTGCGTGCATACATTGCTATTATTGAGACTCTGCAATGAGCAGACAATCAATGTTTGTAGCAGTTGTWTGGATTGTGGAAAACCGCTCTCCTCACGTAATAAACTGAATATACGCTTCAGCTCAATCGGTATGATGCTTATTTTACTTAGCTCTTCAATGAGTTTGATGAAATTTTGTATGCAACTTTCAGCGAGTTTCTCATATTGATGCAAGCACTCACAAACCGCCTTAATGGTGCGATTGTCGCAGGAAACGGATTTACTAGAAAGTAAAGAAAAATGCTTAAATTTAACAAAAATTGGTAATTTCAATTCGATATTTACGTTGCATAATTGGTGGTGCAGCCGCGCAGTATTATATTGCTTAAGTAAATCTGTTCACGCTCGTTTATTTCCGGCAGCCACTCAATCAGTTTAATTACAACTTCTGGCAGCACGAGCAGATGGTCTTGCTCATTGTAGGCCATATTGAAGCATGCGTCCAAGAGTGTATCGTTAGGTACAGCTAAGGCTCTTAAGCTTTTGAAAAATTTCTCTATTTTATCATACACACGCAAATGTTCTGCAATGCTGGGCGAATTGCGTGTAATTACCGCTAACGCTTTGGTGGTGGCGCATAGTACTGACGCATAGTTCATATTCCAGCCCTATGTGTACAAAGCAGATACCAGTTATTTACAAAGTGCATAATTGGCGTAACTGAGTAGCTCACCTTTATTTGCTTTGGAATGCTTATAAGCGTATCTACAAGCGCCGTCTCGCTAATAGCTTCACAGATAACATGCGCCTTCACCACATCGACGAGGAAGAGGCAAACATTCTCGACGGTCGCCGCCAGCGCATTCACATCCACAATTACATCGCTGGCCGCATCATCATTAGCGATTTCAAACGCTACGCTATTGCCGCTGAGAAAGTGATCAGTGGTTAACAGCGTTTGCAGGGCATCACAGTAAAGCTGAATTAGCGTAACTAAATCTATTTGGCGCTAGAGAAGACAAAAAAAAAAAAAAAAACATTACTATTTTTGTAACTCTCAATTACTTGTTATACTCACTTCTTCCGGACTAGACTTTTGTAATACAACAATCATAAGCGCACAGCACTTCAGCGCAACGGTGCGCAGCTCACTGGCGCTTTCCCACTGTGCAATAATCTTCATAATGACTGAAACGGTTGCGGGACAAATGGCGCGCATGCCATTACGCTGTGATGTCCAATTGGGAAGTTGGATCAAATGGATTGAAGGTTAGAAAAAATACCTTATTTTTGTGGAAATTATTTTTAAAAAATCATTTGTTTACAACCATAGTAACAAACAGAAATAAAAAAGTGTAAAGAACTGTTGAGAATCATTAAATAAACATTTAAAACTAAAGTTTTAATTTTGAGAGCAAAGCGGTTGTAATTGATTTTTTCAAAGCCTTTACAAAATTGGATTTAATACTACAACAAAATATTTTGTAGGAAAAAAATATATTTTTCGCCAAAAAATGTTTTATTTTTTCATCAAAAATAGTTTTCGTCAAAAAATGTTTTTATTTTCATCAATAATTACAAATATTAAATTCATATTAAAATAACAATTTTTAAACCAGCTTTGCTCTCTCAAACCATAAAAACTAATTTTTAAAATTTAGTAACAACAAAGATTACTGTTTAGCAGTTTTTAGCACAAAACACAAAATAAAATACAATCTAACAGTACAAGCGATAAAAGTGTCTAGGAAATAGAAAACAAAAAATTCCAAAACAAATGCATTGACATATTAAATGACATTTAATTACGCCGGTTTGACCACTCACCAAATTATCACAGATTTCTTGCCCTTCACCACAATTTGCTGTACTTTTAGTTGTCAGAGATGTTAGCGATTTCTGCAAGTGTGTGTTTGTACAATATTTGCTTTCGTTTTATAACGAGTACAAAGTTTTTTTGGTAATTCAAGTAGTTAGGTTGCAACAAAGCACATCACAATACAAAATTAAATATGAAATAAGGGAAAATGTAACATTTACAATGAATGAGGTTATGTTGAAAATTATAAAATTAAAGTAGGTGACAGTAAAGAACCGAAGCAGTTTAAAGAAATATGCATAAAGACAAATATATTATATAAATAGATAGTATATATGTATATATTATAAAATTTCAAAAAAGCATGATGTTAAAAAATCTACTCTTTATCTTATATGTTACTAAGCATTGAAGAGTTGCTCAACACAAGGAAATGCGCAAAATGAACCGCTTACATCAGATCTTTATGCATATTGCAAAATATAGTTTTGAACAATGAAGAAAAATAAATATATTTTTAAGCGTTTAGGTTTTAAAGTATACACGCCCATATATACATACATACGTTCATGTGTGTACATAAACATATCAGAATTGTAAATAAAGCACACACTCAAAGTTATTTAGGCGCACATATTGATCAAACCCTACGCTGCCACATATCGAACTACCTGAGATCCACATATAACAGCACCTAAAGCATTCACCAGACATTCCCCAATGGCAGGAAATTTGGTAAGCTCTTCCCTCTGGAAGCAATCTGAAAAAATATCATTTTTTTAAATTGTTATTGTCAAAATTGAATTTAACATTTTACTTACCATAGATAAACGGCACAATTTCCACATGCACTGTATGTGGTTTATAAGGTATTTTGTGAAAATCGGCATAGGCGCCACGTAAAAAGCTACGCCAAGTCAAATAAGGGTCATACATAACTTCAAGAAATTGCGAGAAGCTGCGAAAGAGATGCACCACTTCCATAGGCACTTGCTGCCGAGTCATGCACTAGAAAAATAAATGTAACATATGTATATGTAATTATGTTCCTAATAAAATTATCCATTTTATAGCATAAACTAAAATAATTAAAATTGTGTGATCTATTTTATAGTATAAACTAAAATAATAAAAATTGTGTGATGTACCATAAAATTTTGTACATAGCGGCAAGAAAATACTTATAAACATTAGAAATTCGAGTTTAGAATTCTATTTCTGCGGTTAGCTATTTAATGGAATTGTTTTTAATATTTCTTTGTTTTAGATTAGTAATAGACTTCTTTTGAATGTATCACAGACGTTACAAGTTCTTACTTATCTTTCATCGTTATTGAATGCTATGTGAACTTGTTATTACCAAGGCTTATCAATGAAGACATGAAATATTTTATTGCCTTATGATTAAAGAAAATGCCAGTAAATACCAGCATGTTATCGATTTCTAGGAATCAATTAATTCAATTATTATTATTATTATTTGTTTTTTTTTTTTGTGAATAGCTAAGTTTATACATATGAATTAGTTTGATTATTAACTGATTAATTTACCTCTTTGAATGTATTGGCCAAAATAGCAATTAAATTCGATTTATATTCATATTTAATAATTGCCAAAATGTTATCAAAGTGTCGACAAATTATCACTAAGCAATCTACCAGTACAGCAATCTGACGTATCTGCTCATCGTCAAGTGTGCCCTGAAACATAGTAAACAAGAAGAGACATTATCTTTCAAAAATGGTCACTACATTCCAATGTTTTTTGCACATACATTTTCACTGGTATCGCGAGCAATTATGATGAATTTTCCTATTGCCGGCAGCAACTCATCCGGCAGACGTCCTAGATGTGGACCACTATCCGGGCGCACCTCATGCCACAGTGGCAGATCATCACGGTCAAAATCCACCGGTAATTGACACTTCCAAATGCTCACAAAACGTTCAATAAATTCACGAAAATGAGATTCATCATTCTGTTTTCATATCCAAACAATAACAACCGGAAAATAGGAAAATAAGAGAGAAACAGAGAGACATTATTCAAATGAGAGCAATTTTGGCATTAAATGAGCAAATGCCTGAAATATCACTGAGAGCAGCAAGCGTTTATTTATTTTGTGGGTGGGCTGTGTCGGCACCATTGTAATACAACCTGAGCCGCAACATTTCGCTAAGTGGGGCGGTTAGGTGGTTTTGTTATCAGTATGTAAATTATTATATGTTTATCTAGGTAACATCCGCAGTGTTACATAATACTCCAGAAAAAAGAAGCAATGTGTGTGTACACATAGGTACATAAATAAAACTGATAATGCAAAATAAAACGAAACATTAAGCTTTAAAGAACTTAAGTGTTTATACATTTTTGTTTATATTCTTTTTACAAAGCAAGCATTCTAACTTATTGAAGTGTAGAATTTCATCTTATTTTTCCATTGTTTACTGGTACGCAATCCAATAAAGACGAGTTGGTTAGGAAACCCCCATTTAGAAATAGGACAACAAACGTTGAAAATTGATGATTAATGCTTCAAACACGCCCATTAATAATTTGGAGATTATGGCGATACGACTTTGGCGGTGGCTAACAACTACATGTGACATTTGTGTGTATTTTTCCATTTCCAATTAGAATAAAATTACTGCTCGCAATTCTCTTATGCATTTTAACATTTGTTTTGTACTCGCCTTAGTCGTATACTGCACCCATAGATTGTAAATATCCTTTTTATTATCCATTATGAGACACTTTTCATAAAATTGTTATTCCACTCATTTAAACAAAACTTGTTTAAACATTTGCTATTATTTGTTTACAACACAATACTAAAATTTATAAATTTTTCACCGGAATAAAAAACACAACCATAGAATAGACAAACACAAATGGAATGAAGAGAAAAATCAAAATTGAATTGCAACGTTATACTCACCACGTGGTGGCAATAAACAAATGTCAAATGTCTTTTTGCTAGTGTTGGCACTTTGGAAGAAATCAACTTGTGTTTACAATTGTTATATTTTGAGATATTTATGATTCATCTACATTAACAAGTATATTAGCATAAGCTTACAATAATTGTTGGTTAAATAACGAATTGGTTGTGTGTATGTCAAATTTTATTTTGGAGTGTTTTTGTAATAAGTGAATTCGCTTGACATTAGTTGAAGGCGAATTCATGTGCCAAACGAGCAGCTGATTGTTTGTACTTCTTGGTTCTTATAAGGATTTTTTCTTTTTGAAGGAATGCAATAATTTGGCATCGCATAGTGCATATTTCTAAGTTTCACTAACTTAATTTAGCACACGAGAAGTAGCTATTTGAAAGTTAATGCAACAATTTCGATGCCAATTTTTGATGTTGTTATGCGATGCAGAGTGAAATTCTTTCCGGTATTGTATTCAAAGCTTTGCGAGATTTGTAGATGGTCTAGAGCGAAGTACGTAATAATGAAATTATTTCCAATAAAGCTATTATAAGCCTAAAAATTGCATATACTTACGTTGTAACGCACTTCCTACAGTACACACTTGATCGGAAGCAAATTTACATTCGGTTAAGGACGCAAGCTTCGTCATTGAAACTTTCTATCTGTAAGATTTTTTTTTATTCTAGAGACATGAAAGTGTCAGGATTTTTAAACCTTTTACCTTTTACAGCTTATTTGAGCATAACAAGTATGTATTTCTATGTTGGTAAAGTGGCTCTTATCACTGATAGCTGTACAATATCTTTTATTGAGCTCAACTAAGCAAATAACTTTTTTATTTTTTTATTTATGATACTTTATTAACACAACTACATGAACTTCTAAATAATATTGTTAATCTAAGCACTAGCATGAACTTGACGCCAGTTACTAGATTTCTTGTATTTATGAATGTATAACTTTTAGGCATACAATTTTAAGAATCGCCTTCGGTCTTCATTGTAAATAGAACGGTGAACAGCGAATAAGTGCAGCGCACCATTGTTAGGAAAAACTCCATATTAAGCGGCTTTAAACCACCAGCAGTGAGCTGAAAGAAATTTATATAAAATAAGTTATGCATTACAGTAATAAGAAATAAATTGAAATAAATGAATAATTGCAATATATCATTACAAACCTGCAGTTGCCTCTGACTAGCCATAATAATTAGTGGAATGTATTTACGAAATTCTTTATTACGGCTTTCCCAATTACAGTTATAGGCCGCTTTAGCTATATTTTCGCTCTGGCAATTAGAAAGTTACATATATAGTTAATGTATGTGTAGATAATAAATCCATATCACCTCATAACAGAAATTATTARCCACCCAGAAGATAATGAAGGTCGAAATCATGACTATAAGAGACAGCTGAATGTCAGCAATCAGCAGTGACATATCATGGTCCTGCAGTTGGGGAATAAGTATAAATTTGAAAATATATCAGTCGAAAATATAGCTACCGTTGTTACTTACCATTGTTGAAATAACAATTATGACACAAGGTATTATAGCGAAAATGCAAACATCGGCAAAGCTACCAACCGAAAATAATACTTCCAAATCTTGGTGATACCTAAAATATAAATATATTATATATTATAGAATTACAAATGAATTGATAAAAGCTTTAATATTTTGCTTATTAAAACAAAACTTAAAATTTAATAAAAACCCTTACTTTATAATCATAACATGATCCTTAACGCACTTCTTAATAAATTTCAGAGCTTCCTCGTCGGTCTTTTCGTTTATACCTTCCAGTTTGGTCTGCAGATTTTTCATCAAGAATATGCCAAACGCAATGGCTATTAAAGTCAAACATAAATATGAGACGTACGAAAAGAGTACAATAGGCGCAATCCATAGGCTTTGCAGAATAGACATCATTTCCCATAAAGGACTTTCATACAAATCGACACCCGGGAACGCGACATCAACGAGTAGTTCTAAATGAAAAAAAAGAGTTTATATTTTATGCATCCATTAGGGTGGTTCTATAAGATAATTCTTCCTTATTTTTATCAAGTAGCCAAATATCCAAAAAAAAATTTTAAAGGAGTAGAAATTTAATAAATGCTTTATCAGTGGTATTAACGAGCAAGTAGGTAGAGACAAAAAATATCCTTTAATAACCACCCTAACATGTACTATAAGTTATACATTAAATTAATACTTACTTTTATAGCCAACACCAACCGTTGCTAATAACTGTATAAAGGCAATGTAAAATAAAGTAATACCCGCGAGGATTAATACCGTTTTTGAAGTCTTTTTGATTTTTTGAGTATATTCGTGTGCTTTCTTCAATGTTACGTCATCATCTTCGCGCTGAAAGTGTAGAAAAGTTAGTGAGTAATAGATGAAYACAAAAAAAAAAAGGCTTGATACGCATGCAAAACGCACCTGCAGCTCTTGGTACCACTCATCAATACTTTCGAAAAAGCTCAAGAACTTCTTTGCCTTATACATCACAATAAAAGCGCGAACTGTCGTTGTAGTGGCACCAGATATTTTAAATAAATTTACAATAACTTCATCGAAATCATTTCGAATGACGTAAGTGCGATAATACGCCGTGAGACATAAAAATATCGGCGATATGAGGTAAAGCAACGCGAGGCGATGCTGATCAAAGTAGCCAATGCGCCTCATAAACGCCAAACTCCAGTTAAATAGTTCACTACAGAATTGCATTTTATATAAAACCAAAAAAAAAAAAAAATTTTATAAATATTTCGTGTTCGAAAAATTCGCGAAAACCGTTTGAGGTTATTCTTTGTCTGACGCTTCCTTTATATATGCTCCGACGTTTGCGAAATCGCATAGGTGTGCGCATTTTTAATATTTTACAAATGAAAGTTACCGTTAGATTTGTGTGAATGTGTGAATTGCGGTACCTTCGCAATGAAATTAATTGCTATTTTGTAACCTACAATCACATCCGTTTAGTTTTGTTGATGTGAAAAAATAGCAAATAATTATTATGTCCATAATTGTTAGGGACAATATTTTCTTAAAAGTGTGTGAARATTCCGTCTAAGATCCAACGTTTAGAAACACATAATTTTGTTGGAATCTTTGTTAGTTTTAATAATTGGGTACCAGAARTCCCAATTGACTTTGCCAATTACTACCTTTCACACTCGCTCAATAACGGTCAAAGTAAAGTTGATGAATCTGAAAATTATTAAAACGATAGATATTCTTTCTTGTTGCAAAGTTTATTTTCTASCTTCACCGACATTTTCTTATTTATGTAAGCGAGTAAGATATTGCAGCTCGCTTACTTGAAGACATAGCCATTATTGAGCGAGTATTTGACAAACCTACATTTGCTGAGAGCTATAAAAGGCAGRTTAGGTTAGGTTATGAGGTCGATCCTAGCAGGGATCTCACTTGCGCAGCTTAGAAMGGCCGTACGACGTCTGCAATGGGGAATGGTTTGACTCCAAGTTCGTCATTCACTGAAGGGAGTGTTTATGGCTTAAAAGCGTCCAAAGTGTTGTAGGCGTATTGTCTTATGTCGTCGACGTAATCGGGGAAGRGCCTCTTGATGCTCCCAGGAGACTGTTCCGCTTCAAGCAAATGACTACAGAGATTATCTCCCGCGTCTGCGTTTCACTGCATCCAGGCGACCATATTTGTGCCGCGATGTTGATAACAACGTATCTCTGTATTTTCCCCATGTGCTGCCGCCTAGTGACTTGAGGAATATGTAGCGGCTCTGTACTTTTGTAATAATCGCGAACGTGTGAGTCAAGGAGCACAGGCTGTCCAGTGTCACATCTAAAATCTTTGGGTTATTTTCAGTCGGAATTTTAACGCCATCGACTGCAAAATAAGGGAGCGGAGATATGGCCATTTACGTTAGAGCACAAGCCATCGATTACATTGGCCGCCGTCATTATCGTGCAATCATCAGCGTACGAGGTGATAGAAATTACCTATGGTATTAGAGGGAGTTTTGAGATGTAGAAGGTAAACTGCAACGGGGAGAGGACACCACCTTGAGGAGCCTCCTGTTTAATTCTTCTCAATTTAGAGTTTTTGTCTCGAAACAGTGAAGATGATTGTCGACWGCTGAGGTAGTTCATAGTCTACCTTAGATTTTTCGATATCCTCAAGTGGCGTTGTGTGGTTGACTGTGTCAAAGGCTGTTGACAAGTCCAACGTCACGAGGATCGTTATCTCGCAGGGTGGTTTTGGTTGAGGCCATAAASGATCCGGGCATTTATGACGCTAAGTGTTGTAGTGATGCTGTGCACTTTACCGAAGCCAGGTTGGTGCTTTGCGAGACTCAGGTAGTGAGATCGAGAGTAGCAAGGTCTTAATGTCTTCACTGCTGCAAAGAGCAGAGCTATCGGACGATAGGACTGCTCTTTGTTCCCAGGTTTCAGTAGTGGCACCACTACCGATTTTTAACACATTGGGGATAGCAACAGCATGTTTATTCCATCAGAGTCAATCGATTTTGAAGATTTTGCCTTATTGATGACACCCTGAATCTCCTCATCGGTGGCGCGCAGCCTTTTGGCATTTTGTGTAACCGTCGGGCAACACATCATTTAGCTTTGTCAACCGAAGGGTGCAGTGTAAATTACCGGCTAAAACAGCTCCCGCACTTCTTCGGGCYCGAAGAGGCATGGCCATTGMATTGAGTTTCTACTCGGTCATMATGTCTCTTTGGTTTGACAAAATCTTTATTTGCCGAATCTCCAAATCGTGATTCCTTACTCGAGGATAAGGAGTAAGGATTCGCGCTCAATAGSTAAAACAGCTGCTCTGGGCGGGAAATTGGTGCGGATTTTCGCTATTCTTCCAGCCGGGCTAAAGCGAGCGGTAGCAGCTGCGATCACCTWGCGGAATTGASGTTTCSTAGAAATGGCTASTTCAGTAAGTTCTGCGGAGACGACCCAGTTRSATTTATTAAAGTTAACGGATGACGTCATTTATTGTGCAGAACGTGGAATCGTTTATCTGTTCCGCCAGTTCCATGCACCTCTGGTCGTCTGGTCCACTGCTAGAAAGCAAGTTGCCAATGTAGATTCAACAGTTGAAAAAGCAGCTTGTATTCCTGTTGACCCTTCTCGGCGTAAGTGTTATGAAGAAATGAGTTCAAAAACGCTTTATTCACCAAACTCCCGTTTATGAATAAAAAAAAACCATAGCTAGGCTTCTAAATGCGTTGATTTTTATATTTTTTATTTATTATTGTTTGATTTCTCACCTTTTATTGTTTCAATTCTAGTAGCATTACAATATTATACTTCAATAGTTAATTAATAATTTTCATTTAAAAATGTTGCACTTTTATGCCGCAAGTAATTTACTGTATTTATTTTAGGCGCTTGTCGCTTATTAGAATTTTCGTTAAATATTCTCTTTCAATTAATTAATTTCTCTTCATAATTTAGATGTGCAAATGCAAATGCGCATAACATATATGTATGTATATAGAATAATTGTAAAAAAAGGAAATCACCGCGTATTTTTCACTGTTGTGTTGGTTTTTGCTTAATCTTTTGTTTTAGTTTTTTATTTGGTTTTTGTTTTCGGTATTTAATAATTATGAGTACCTATTTGTCTAAGAGAATTTTTGTGAGGCTTAATGCTTTTGCTCAGCTTAGCAGTTAATATATACGAGTAGGCTTTAAATGTTATTTTAATTTAATGCTAAAGAAAGTTTTTTTTTTGTTTGCTTTTCAAGTTTTTTTTAATGCGTATTTTTTATTATAAGTTGTTAAGCTATTTTTTGCTTTATTTATATTTTTTTAAAATATTTTTAAGTTTATATTTTCCTGATTTTTATTTTTAATATACATTAAGTACTTACTATATTTATAAATATGAATATGATGTGAATTCTTTAGTAGAAGAAAATATTTTTTATGTTTTGCTTAGTTTTTTGTAATTTTTTGTTTTTTAATTTTGTTTTACAATTTGTTTAAAGCTGTGAGTTTGCGTACGCATTTACTTAGGTTACTATGTATATGTACCTATATAATTTATGTTTACATACAAATTAATTTAATTTAAGACAATATCGTCGCCTTCCCTTTAGTGCTTACAATTTTAACTAAATAAAATATATTTTTCATTAATTCATTTTTTTTTTTTTGGTTTCTTAGTAAATCAATGCTTGTAAGCGAAGAGCGTAAAAGCGCGAGCGAGAGAGTTCTTCAATATTAACTTTTAAACGTACTTAATGGCATTCGAAATTATTAGAGAAATTAATTATTTTACTTTATTTTTTTACCGTTATGCTTATGTCGCCTATATGTATGTCTAGTTTTTGTTGTTTGTTTACTTAGAGGCAATATTAATTACTAATTAATCCATTAAAATTGCAATCGAAATTTTCGCCATCACTCACTTATCTCAGTCGCAAATGAAGACAATTCCGATCCGACGTGGTAAAGTCAAGTCGAGACCTAAATATACAACTCGTTTGCTGAAATGTTCCCTTCGCTTGGCCAGCCTTGGCCCACAACCTCAATATTTGCTCGTAAATGTTGTTKTTGTTGTTACTATTAATTTGAATGCTGGTGTGCATGTATGCATTAGGGCGCGCCTTAGTTGTAAACAAAAAATTAGTGATAAGGAATACTTATAATTTATTATTAATTATTATATATTAATTGAAAGTGAAGACGAAAATGTATTGAAACTATTTTGTTTTTAATAATTTTAACAARTTGCGAGGTGGGCAAACCCCTTAATTCTGTACGGGAGTGTCGACTGGTAATAGATCGACTGGTAATAGATATGACACTATCACAACGTTAGCAAGGCGGGCTAGAAATAGTTCGCCGTTTTTGCACTTGTGAAGCATATATCTCGCTAACGGCTCTTAAATAGCGCAGTCTGGAACGGTGYTAAYGGACACCTGCCGCTCTCCGTAATAWGATAGCGAGGATCCATATAATGAACCAGCGGAACAATTATAAAATATTAAAGGAGTACGGATTGCCTGGAAAAAGTCAGATGAAACAAGTTGTTCCGAGAAGAGGTCAACGAGCTTGAAAGCAGCTAGCACAAAGGCAGGAGCTTCGTYTAGATGCAAGGTCTGGAAATCTGGAGCTGAAGCTAAGTCTACCTCCAGAAAGGCAAAAACACCAGCGTCTGATGGCTGGCGGCTACATAGCAGTGAGGGAAAGGAGATGCAAAAAGTGAGACTGCTGGTACTGTATCTGCCTGAGAATGGCCTATATTTAATGTCAATGACCCAGCTAAAGCGGAGCAGCGTCGTACTGTATACTTGTCCACAAGGGTACAACTGCAATCGTCAAACAGGGAGAAGCTCCTAAGACGCTCTACGAGTCYATTCATTGCGCGAAGTCGAAATATTTCAAATCTGATCCGCCCGCAGTGGCAGCTAAAAAACAGAGGTCAGCTGAGGAGGCTAAGCCGCCAGCACAAAGGTCGAAGACAAAGGGTGTAACAGTCGTTAGCTGATACGATCCGGAACC